AAGCTATTTTGAAAAATTAATGTCAACTTAATAATATTGTGTTGTAAATGATTATTAGTTGAGGCGGCGTGTTAGATATAAAATGTAATGTAACTAATTCTAGGGACTTTTATTGTATTATTGTTAGGTTGGTATCTATGAATAAGTCAAGTAAGCCGTAAGCGAGAAAAACCGAGCGTGCTGTAAAATTTCAATAACAAGTTTTAATTAAACTACGTTCTTAATAAAAAGCAGAGTTTCAATTATAACCCATAATAATGATAACCTTAACAACCCTACTTCATGTTCGAGGAGACATCGAATCCAGTTCTGCTCAGCTATCAATGAACAAGCTTACAATTGTACATGGTGGCCATATGAGCGTGCAAAGTACACTATCTCGGAAACTATTCCTTGTAGAACACTTATGGTAAAAAATTTAATGGCTAAAGTGGCCAAGAGAATACCCTAGAAACTATTTTCAACTTTCTAATATAGGCGTTAGGGGCGCAAACGCCATCTTGAATTGCAAAATGTTGTTTCTCTCGGAATTCCACTGTATTAACATTACTAACGAAACACTTTTTGAGCTATCTCTAAAAATAAAGTAGTGTGGGGTGTTTGAAAATGTTTGTAAATAAATGCCAATAAATTCAAAATAGCTAAACAGAATGTATGATTATTTTTCTGTCAATCACAACGGTGCATATAACTTAAACAAAGGTTTTTCTTTCCTTACTGTTAATTGACATTGACTGTTTTTCACACACTCACGACGTTTCATGAATGTCTTCCATTTTTTTCTTTTTGCATTCCGTTTGAAGCGAATTTTGGTTTCTTGGCTAGTACAATCGTTTCATATCATTCAAACAGTAGAATGTTGGAGGACTAGGTATTCCATGTTGTGTGTTCACAAATATCTTGTGTAGCCTTTTATGCAATTGAGTTGATGTAGTATTCTAAAAGTTGTCATCATTTCATCAGATTGCGAAAAATTACCAAATCTGTGAAATTTTATTAGACTTGGTTGAAGAAAATTGATTCATCTCACAATATTAAGTATAACCGCCTCGCTCATTTGATTAAAGAGTAACCTGAAAATGTCAAAATATCATGTAAAGTAAGTCAAGTATAAAAACATAAAAAAAGACATTATTGTTACTTTGTTGTGAAATCTTATATCACTCGATCGACAATCGACTAATCACTTGAATACAATGCCCCCATATAAGGACCTCATGATTTTGCCACAATTTTTGCATATTCGAGGCAGAGCAGCACTGAAGAATTTCTACCTGAATTTGCAGAAAGTTATCAGAATAGACCAAGTTGCAACAACGTTAGGTAAAGATGGGGAAATTACACCTTATTCGTTAACATTCATGTAACAGATACTTTGGTGGTTAAATTGTATGCACATAGCTTTCGACTATAGTAAAGAGGTGATAGGCACGTCGGAGCATAGAATTTGCAGGACACTCTGTAAATCAAAACTTACTATTAGAAAAGTTTCGTCATGATTTGCACTTTGTTTATCTAAATCTTTTGCTCTATTAACATCATTTCTTCGCTTTATGTGAGAAAGAAATTCTTCTGATTTTTTAATAGATTTAGATTATTTAACACACAGCAAACATTGATCTATCTTCAGTTTGAAGAAAGATAAGTTATATTGCGTGCAAAACACCCTCCAATATGTTATTGGAGAAACGAAATCCGTTTGATTGCTCATCTGTAACTCTTTGTACAATTCATATATTTTAAGAATGGATAAGGTAGAGTCAAGATACTTCCGTGCTATCCCACGTCTACAATAGTGATTCCATTACAGGAAATGATTCACCTCATTCAAAATGACAGGTTTAGCCTTGTTTCCTGAAGAACTTCTTCCTCGAAGATCTTGAATTGAATGATTTATTCCATTTGTACCTATGCTCAATATAGCACAATCAACCGGTCCATGACTCAACAAGGTTTTTAAGTAAAAATTTTTACAAACGCTTTTTTTTTACTAGTCCCTGGTCCGTTTTCTTCGGCATTAAGATGTAACAACGCTAATAATTATGAAGTCCTTTTGTCTGTCATAGGATAGACTTTGATACTGTTTACAGATATCTTGTCCACGATCTGCAGGAAATACTTCTGCACATTTCTAGCGGCAATTGTCACAGTTTACATTTCTAGGGGATCTTGCAGACATTTGTTTGCCTTTAGTATTAATATACGCTAAACTGATTTTTAATAACTTGTTTTTCTCACGTTTTATTCCTTGAGGATTTTTTATTACCTGATACCCACAGAGGTCTCAGCTAAATAATAATGCTTATAACTAATAGACTGGCATTTTTGGACATGTTCATTTTTTCCATAAAAATAATATTGCATTTCAGGCACATGAGCATTAAAACTTAAAAATCTAGAATTTTAGACTTGGTCACTTTCTCTTGTATACCGACGATATAGGAAATTCAAAAAGAGATATTTGAAGAAACGTTGTTAAAATTAGGTTATGTTTGAAATTGCGAAAAACGAAAAAAATTGATAAAATCACTTTGAGCTCATTTTTAAAAGTTAGAAAGTGATTTGTCTTAAATTGAGAATTAAAGCTTCAATTTTAATGTTGTATAAAATATATAGGGTATTTTATATAAAAAATTTTTGGAAAAAAGCTTTATTGTAATGTTTGAAATCGTCAAAAAGCAAAAAAAATATAAAATCAATTATAAAATGAACTTATTTTTAAGTGTTAGATAACGATTTATATCTTAATTTGAAGACTAATGCCTCTACTTTAATATGGTATATGATTTATACAGAATTTTTTTGTTACGTTGGAATCGTCAAAAAAGGATAATTTCATAAAATCACCTATCACATATCTTAAATTGAAGATTAAAGCTTCTATTTTAAAATGCATTTTCGAGATTAATTAATTATCTTAAGACGATGTCCATTTAGCGTCGTTAGAGGCTAGATTACCATATTTCATACAATATTTTTGACGAATGACGACCTTTGATGTTACTATCAAGGAACTTATTTACAAAAGCATTGGCGTCCTCACCAATTAACTCTGCTAGATCGTGAACGAGCAAACAATTTCGTCTGGAATGAATTTCCGATTCCAGACGTTTATCAAGATTAGAAAGTTTTTATCTCGTTGAAACTTTCGGCCGCTGCTTATCGAACGAATATCGAACCAAATAAACTCCACAAACATTACTTTAAAAACTGGTAGCACCTCAGAATTTTGAGATGAATTGCCATCATGCAGTGCAAGAATGAAAATTATCAACCAAGAGCAACCGCGCAATGTGTGATATTAAATAAGAACTAGTGTAGTTCTAGCGCCATATTTCCCCCCCTAAAATAATAAATGGGGTAAAAATATGACCAAACTATTTATGACACTACTATCTCAGAGTGAATAAAGTTAATGTGAAAATTACTGAAATTACTTTAAAAACTGGTAGCACCCCAAAATCAGTTTCCTCCATTTCGTCGAAATAAATTTCAGTGAATTGCCAGCATGCAGTGGAAGAATAAAAATTATCAACCAAGAGCAACCGCGCAATGTGTGACATTAAATCAGAACTAGTGTAGTTCTAGCGCCATATTTTCCCCCCTGAAATAATAAATGGGGTAAAAATGTGACCAAACTATTTATGACACTCCTATCTCAGAGTGAACAAAGCTAATCTGAAAAGGAAATGTCCTAAATCCTTATATAGCTTCAAATTATAACAAATAACATATCTAATAAAAACTGAATAATTAATTTGTTATAAATTGTTTTGTACAATGCCAAGTTTGAAAGAGTTTCAATTAAATTTTTTTCAAAATTAAATTTTCCCTTACATATTAAAAGGTGCTGTAAGATAAAAAGCACTACTTTGTGTACTAGCGTGATGTCTCACGTGTACAGTTAATCCTGGTGATTGGCGAAGTTTCGATAACAACCAAAGTAACGAAGAATCCTCGGTGTTTGGCGGAAAAACAACGACTACATCGCAATTTGGAGTCGAAACCCTTTTAAGCCATAGCCTTTTCGGTGCCAAAAAGTGTCTGGCACAAGGAATTTTTCGTTTTATTAATTCCGATGCTACAAAAAAAATCATCCCTTTATGCAACTTTTATATAAAAGAATATGATTTGATGAAAAATTATTTTATAAATTTCCTTTTACCTTGCTCGAAAGTATCTTGAGCACACTCAACAAATTTCCTCCTTCTCGTCTGAGTTTCATCATTTTCCTTTAAATCGGTATCACCACATTCACCACCACTAACTTCCTCGGTAGCCATAATTTTCCCGACGTTTTTTTCTTTTTTTTAACACGGTCTTACACTCGTTTTCTTAAAAACGGCCGCGAATCAATGAACACCTAATGTTAGGTAACAGGTTTGCTGTCCCCCACTGTTTGTGTCAGTGTGTGCGTGTTCGACGCCTACCCTCTTTCAGAGTAGCAGCCATCTTTGTCCTCGACATTCCCCTTCTGTAAACATTAGGGGGTTGAACATTTTTAGAACCGCTGTAATCGCATAACCAACTCGCTCTTATACGCAATAATATCGAACCTTTCTCTTTTACTCTTGCATTTTACTCAATTCCGCGCCGTTTCAAACTGTGATCGGGTCGCCGATTTCCGTCGTGCATTTTCCTCTCGCACGCTATTCCATTAATATTGATTCCAATCAAAATTTATGTATGCCATAGAGAATTATTTAAATGTATTTATAACCTTTAAAGGGTGAGTTTAATTGATATATTCGTGGGAAAACCCCGGATGGGTTTTAATTGAAAATTCGAATGTATGGAGTTTATGTAATTCCTAGTTATTTAAATGAAATTGAATTTAATGGAGAACCGTCTCGAAAACGATTTTTGGTCATTTGGGACAAATTCAGGAACCTCACCCCTTAGACTGCCGAAATGTTCTATACTAATCTAGAAGAAAAATTTGGAAACTTTAAGCGTTAAAATTAAGATTAAATATAGATAAAATACCTTTTAAGCAGCTTTACTTAAGTTAACCTTAAATATTGACGTTTATCTATCAAAATTCAAAATGGAAGTTTCCATGTCAATTTTGACGTTTAATATTAACTATAATAAAAATTAAACGCAAAACTAAAAGACAAAAATATAGTACTGAAATAAAAATAGGAATGAAAGTAATTTAAAATTAAAATAGAACGAAATTAGCACGAAAAATTGACTAAAATATATTTCAATAATAATAAAGTGTCATCTAGTGGACAATAGATGAATCACCCAAAATAACTGCTGTGAATTTTATCGATTTCATGTTGCTGGTTTTAATTAATTAATTAAATTAAATACAATTAATTTTAATTAAATTGCTTAAATTATACTTTTTAACTTCATATTTATTTTATATAACTTTTCTGTATGAAATTAGATGGCAAATTGGAATTGAATTTTACCACCATCTATGAACAAGAATCCGTCGTTAGATCTGTTTATATTTTTTTTCGATATAACTTGAATCGGCGGTACAATAACATGTTTTGAAGAATTTTTCACGAAATTTAACGAATGATACATTAACTTTAAAAGAAAAATCTCCGAAAATGGTGCGAACATCCAACAGATTAGCACGCAGTAAGAAATTATCTTGTTCCTTTTATTATTTTAATTAAAAATACTTTTTTAGTTGCGAGTGGTGGATCAACCAATTCTGGAGAAAAAGGTTCTAATATATCTTTTAGAAGAAGCAGATCGAATTCATCTTCACCCAGCAGCATTCATTGTAAGTATTAAATCTAATTACATAAAGTTTTGTATTATTTAATAAAATTTTAATTTATTTAGCTAGCCCGAGCGATAATTTGGGTAATAAAACAGACAACCCTACATTCATTAGAAAAAGTAAACGAAAAATTTGTACTCAAGCTAAAAATGATGAAAATGGGGTAAATCACAGTGGAACGATTTTTATAAGAGGATTTTATATAACCAAAAAGGATATTGAAGAAGCCGGTTGTAGCAAACATAGCCAATATGTACCTCAACCGCGAGATGAATTAGAATATAATAAAGAGAATTTTGAAAATAATGAGCAGCTTAATAAGAGAATTCCAATGTGTGTTAACCCAACTAAAACAGTTAAAAGAATGAAATCCAATATTTACAAAAATCTCGCTAAATTTGAAACTCTGGGACGAGGTGGTGAAAAAGCTAATACAGAGACTAATTCTGATATGTTAACAGAGTGATTTTAATGTTCTTGTTCCTTAAATAATATTTATAATTATGTTTGATTAATTAGTGTTCTAGTCTTTAATAAAAAAAGTTCTAAAATTGTTTCTGTGTTTTTAATCTATGATGGAAAGGAAATTAAGTATTCTTAGAGAATAAGTTGTTGTTAATGTTGCTTGTTAAAAAACTTAGGTCCACTTTTTTAAGCACTTTTATTGTCTAAGAGTTAGATTTATTTATCCTATAAATTTATCAAGAAGTGGCAAGTCTTAATCATATTATTTTTGTGCTTTTAACCAAAGTAAACTTCCGTAGTAATCCCACAATCAACACTTATGTTTATAGAAAATTTTGCAGGAACTTAAAATGCTGTTTGATGGTAAGTTGGGAATGGTTAAAGGTCACGTGGCACAAATAAATGTGCAACCAAAAACTTTCCGACCACACCCCGTACTCTTAGCTTTAAAAAAACCAGTAGTAACTGAACTGGATAGGGATAGACTGGTAAAGGAGGATGTGTTGGAGGAGATTGATATGCCAACTACACCAATTGAATGAATACCTATCGTCGTGGCAATAAAATCAAACGGAAACATTCGTATTTGTGGAGATTTTCGAGTCACTATTAATCCTCACGTGCAAAGAAACGACTATCCTTTGCCAACCCTTCCTTGCCATCCTATTAAGTAAATTAAATGGCGGACAACAATTTTCTCGAATTGACTTAAGAGATAATATGTTATCTGGATGACATCTTAATTACAGCACCGGACATACACAATGATATAAGAAGAATTCAAGAAGTTTTAAATTGACTTAAACAAGCTGGTATAAAGACGCAGACATCAAAATGTTTATTGTTACAGGATGAAATTATACATTTAGGACACCGCACTGATAAAATTGGAATTCATCCAACACAAGGCCATATAAGAGGAATAACAGAAATGCCGATACCAACCAATACCACCGATTGTCCATGGTGCGACAAAATTTCATAAGTATTTGTGTGGGAGACATTTCACATGATTGATTAAGCCACTAGAGAGAATTTTCAGTCAACACCGAGAGACTCTAAAAATAACCAGCAACCGTTTATTGAGATGGGCGATGTTACTAAATAGGTATAATTAGTGGTGGAATGGATATCCGGCAACTATCCGGTATCCGGCCATTTTTTTAAACCCGGCCGGATATCGGGTAGTTAACAAATATCCGGTTTTGGCCGGATATTAAAAACCTATTATTTAGTACTCCACCATTCACAGGAATTAGTATTTCTTTTAAGGCCCGTACAGACACGTTTAGTAATTTAGTCGAGCAGCAAGTAATTTAGTAACTCGCCACGTGCGGATAGTACAATTTAGTCGAGTAGTTTACTAAAACGCTTTAGTCGAGTAGATCCATTTGATTCTATTTCTTCGGTCGAGTAGCGTACCCCCACTACTCACAACTACAACGGCTAGTGAATTAGCAATATGTAGTATAATATAACAAACATGTTGGGGCGATGGAGCAAAAACACTACTGTCAAGTTTGAATGTTTTTGAATGTTTATGAATATTTCAATATTTCATTCAAATACTGGATAATGTGTTAAGAGGTAGTAATAGAAGAGCAATTGATGCTCCTAATGAAATCCTTCTCATCCACTTTCTAACCCATATACGCTTATTAAGTTTTTTAGACACTTATTCTTCAATTTCCTCTATAAGCATATGAATGATATTTCTTATATTATTGAATTGCGCGCGATGACGTCGCGACGTCTGTTTATCTTGAGTACCAGTAAAGTGTCTTGAGTGTATTAAATGCGGACAGTTACCATCTAGTAAACGTTCCAGCGGTAAGTGGCTACTCGCTACTCGACTAAATTACTAAACTACTAGGCTTTAGGTGTTGGACACTGCAGATAATAATCAAGTTCAACCCCAATAGAACTTTTTTTTATACAACTTTATTTATCATTAGCAACCTCATTGTAACAATCCCAATACGATATATAAAATCTCTTGTTGCAGTTTCGTCTAGTTTCCTTCTCTTCGCTTGTAATTCATCATCATATTCATTACTAACAGAACTGTCGCTGTTATCACTTTCGATTATTAATTAAAGTATCCTCTTTTTAATGCAAAAAGCCGTTTTGAAAAATCACTTTTAGTTCTTGAGAAATAAATTTTTGAAATGATCGACAATTTTTTCGAATTTTGCAATTTTCGCCGATTAAGTTTTAAAAATTCGTATAAAATCCACTTCTTGGAACATGAGTATGAAAATTTTCCAAAGTGTTAATAAAAGTGGCCTCTTTCCAAAGAACAAACCCGTTTTGAAAAATAACTTTTGGTTTTTGAGAAAACAATATTTGAAGTTTTGATAAAATTTTCGATGTTGCAATTTTCATCGGTAATTTTCAAAGTTCGCTATAAAATTAATTTCTTGAAGGATCCTTGTGGAAATATTACCAATTATTAATTAAAGCATCCTCTTTTTAATGCAAAAAGACCGTTTTGTAAAATGTTGCAATTTTCATCGATAATTTTCAAAATTCACTATAAAATTAATTTCTTGAATGATCCTTGTGGAAATATCACCAATTATTAATTAAAGCATCCACTTTTGAATGCAAAAAGACCGTTTTGTAAAATCACTTTTAGTTTTTGAGAAATAAATTTTTGTAATGATTGACAATTTTTTCGAATGTTGCAATTTTCGCCGATTAAGTTTTAAAAATTCATATAAAATCCACTTCTTCGAATATGAGTTTGAAAATTTCCCAAAGTGTTAATAAGAGTATCCTCTTTCCAATGAACCAACACGTTCTGAAAAATAACTTTTAGTTTTTGAGAAAACAATATTTGAAGTTTTGATCAAATTTTCGATGTTGCAATTTTCGTCGATAACTTTCAAAATTCGCTATAAAATTAATTTCTTGAAGGATCCTTGTGGAAATATCGCCAATTATTAATTAAAGTATCCTCTTTTTAGAGTTGCTTCGTTAGTTAAATCAACATCAAAAAAGTTCATTTTGTATCAGCTTTCTTATTAATTTCATTTTTATTCAAATATCGCAATAATGTGGCATGTAGGGTATCACTTCAGAAATGTACCAGAAATTATAACCATAATGGCCGTATAGATATACCGGATAATCGGATATCTTTGGGATTTTCGCAAAATCACGTCATCAGCTTGGAAAAGAAAATCAGACAGCTAATGCTTTATTCCGGTTGCCAACACGAAATCAAGACATGACAAAAATGGAAATGAAAGGACTACCAACTTCTACCAAGCCATGGACACTTATTAAATTTACGAATTCAACAACTTCCGTTAACGTCAAAAGAAATAACTAAATCTGTATTTAAAGATGAAAATTTAAAACGTATAATACCTTTTATAAAAAAACTACTGGCCAGGCAAGAAAACATTATCACCGGATCTGATACCATATTATGAGTTATCTTATGAAGAAAATTTGATACTGAAACGCCACCAAAAAGCAATATTAGACATGCTGCACGAAGGACATCCTGGCACAACTGCAATGCAATCCCTCGCAAGATTACATGTTTACTGGCCTAAAATGGACGCCGACATACATGATTATTCGCAGAAATGTAATGATTGCCAGGGAGCAAGACAGCCAAATCAAAAGATGAATTCCAAAAGATTCATGGAATGCGCCACCGCTGCCATGGTTCCGACTACATCTTAATTTTGCCGGACCTTTCGAAAGGTCTATGTGGTTGATAGTGGTGGATGCATATACGAAATGGTTGGAAATAGTAAAGATGACAAAGACTACTACTGTGACAACTATTAGTGCTCTCCGCAATATTTTTGCACGTTTGACTAAGATTCTTGTAATAGACAACGGACCCCAACTGGTATCCGAAGAGTTTGAGAATTTCTGCTCTCTCTAAGGAATAAAACATGTGAGGATAACACCACACCATCCACCAACAAATGGATTGGCAGAAAGAATAGTGAGGACTTTCAAAGAACGAGTAGTGTTAAGAATGAAGAGTTAAATATCCGACTGCAGACATTTTTAATATCTTTACGAAACACGCCTACGACGGTCAACAAGAAAATCACCGTTTGAATTGATGTTTGGCCGTAATATGAGAACCATGATCGATCAACTTAAACCGGATGTTCACTGAAAAATTGACTAGGAATAGCTCAGACAACAGGAAGAATTTAATAAAAGGAATACTAAAGAGAAATCCTTTGAAATAAATGAACCAGTTTAGATAAATAATCCAATATCTGATGGAGCCACTCCTGGACACATAACCGACAGAGCTGGACCATATTCATATGTAATTGACATAAATGGAACGAAAAAGCGGAAACATGGGGATCAAATGAGACATCGATTTTGATAAAGATACACCAGTTGAAATGGGTATTGTTATAATCACTGAAGAATTAACAATACCAGAACCAGACCCCGAAACAAGACATTAAAATCAGAAGAAATCCAACCAGGCAGAGACAACTACCTAGTCATTACCAAGATTATGAGATGAGTTGATTCAAATTGGTAGTGTGTTTAGGATTTTATTTTAGTAGGGAGGAAAATTTCTTCTTCTTGTCTTATTGGCAATCTAACGGTAGCACGCGTGGGAAGACGTAATAGTATGCTGTTAGTATCAACAAAAGATTTCTCCGATTTTTTCTTCTCTAACCATCAATGTATGTATATCATCCACCAGACAAATCAGCATGATGACAGATACCAGAGATTAAACAGTGAGTAATAATGTAGCTTTAAACCATGGAGCCGACACTTCCCAATGCTCTACTCAATTTCTAAACTTAATGAAACGTTGTTGCGCCAAAACCATGGTCATGATTTTAGTGGATTAGGAACTATTCTAATATTACTCGTATAGGGAAGCACATCATGTCCTTCTTCCAATGTTTGCATTATGTTAGCGAGGAACGCAAAGTTCTTTCAAATAGTTTTGCTCATTTGAGAACTTTGAACTATCCATGGGTAATGTTCCAGATATAAAAGTCAACACTTTCCCTGACGAATCAATGCACTATGTTGCGTACAGACGTATAGACTGGACAGCCTTTATCATAATTTTACC